TCCATTGACTTTTATGTCTGATTAGGTGCTTCACCCAGTCACCCACAGAGTCATTTGAGGTGCTGCAAATGGACATTGCCTGGAATCCAACTGAAGCTCCAGACAGCTAGGGCTATTTTATAGAGCCAGTATCACATATTCCAGGCCTACACAGATGTCTCAGATATCTCAATTTCAACATGAGGGCAACTGATGAGTCCTAAACATCTACTGACATGTAAATAGACATGTAGTTGTCTATATTTGAACTTTAAATCTGTCCCATTCTATGGGTTACTGGGGTCAAAGAGAGGAAGACTCAGAAGACAGTTGAGTGACAAAAAGTCACTTTACTCATGGAACAAACCAGGGCTACACTGACACTGAGAGGACTCCACATTTCAAGTTCTATAGATCTGCCATAAAATTAAGATCCTCCAGAGAGTTTAAAGGCAAGAAGAATTCCTGAGTATTCGAGGAGAGCAAATCCTAGGAATGGCATCTGGGAGAGGACAGTCTCCAGATAAACTTCAGCTAATAAACCTCCAGAACTAGTGAAAAATGAAAGAAAAGAAAGAAACAAAGGAAGAAAGAGAGAGGGAGGAAGAGAGAAAAGTCAAAATCTAACTAAAAACTAAAGCCAAAACAGTCAGTTAAGGGGATTTGAGATGGTAGTCCATGCCTAGCACTGAGAAGCCAGGTAAATACTTCTGCAGGTAAGTTCACAGCATGAACAAAACCACAGAAAATTATTAGAAGGTAAAGAAATGCATATGCAACTAAGATAATAAGTGGAAACTCAAGACATCTATAATCAGTTTTTAGATAAGTCGCAAACTCTGTGAGACCTGTATAATTTAAGATTCATTTCAGCTACCTAATCATCACTCTAGAGCCATCTGAGGTGCTCAGTGACATCCCACCTGAACTTCAGCTGCTAATCATGAAGGGTCTGGTTGTCTCTGGTCCTCAGTAATATGTCAGCCTTGTCTAGGTCTCCTGGATTCGCTACTGTATTTCAATTGGTACTAGGCACCTATATTCAAGCAACTAAATTGATCTGTTAAACATTATGTTAGTAGGTATTTTAAGAATTACTACCTCATCTCAAATTTATAATCAGTTTTAAATTCCACCCTGTAGTCACTCTATGCCTCAGTTTCCCCACAGTAAAAAAAGAAGAGAATTAAAAAAAAATACTTAGGCAATACTTAGGATCATCGGACAACACAAGCCACTTAATGCCCTTAGTTGAAGGAGAAGAGATGCATATATGTTAACAGCAGCAATCAAAGTCTACAGTCTAATGCAAACATTAACTGTTAATAGTGAACAGTATTTTAGAATGCCAAAAATATAATAAAATGCTTCATATTTTTCTGTTAATTCATTTTTATGATGTGGTCCCTGTTTCTGTCATAGTGTGTTTTATAAATATCGTTAAGAGACATTACTTTCATCAAATTGCAATCTTAAGTGTTAAAATTTCAGAATATTTTAAATTATTAGGATGACCTATAAATAGTCATATGCAGTCCTTAATCAGAAGTAGTCCTCACTGGGCAGTGATTTGATTGAACTGCTTTTATCTCTGTGCATCCAGAATGGAGTCTTTGATGAAGCTCCAGAGTTGTAGAAAGCTGCATGCAACCATTTAGTGACCTTGCACATTTATATATTTACATCTGTTTCTCTGTAATTCAACTTTTTTTTTTTCTCAGCATACTAAGTGAGACAGGCCTGCAAGTCTGCATAAATTTATAGCTTGTCCATGGGACCAATGCATCAAAAAGATGGATAGGTTTCATTATGGCTTATATCTAGTTTATATACTGTGATTTATGATTGATCTAATTGCTTTCTTGCACTTCAGAATTATTTTACCTACAAAATAGCCTTCATGTTATGAAACTGCAATATCATCTGCATCTTCAGAGTGTCTGCACAAAGTCACTACAAATTTTTACATCTGAAGGACACTGCAGCCTATTACACAACAAATTATCAAAGTTAATGATTGCATATTCGTATACATATTCAAGTGTGATACTATTACAAGCACATGTGAACCAAGCCTTGGGATTGAATCTGCCTGGGGCCTACTAAATATTACGGAAGTGTCATTCCTGCACGACATTAATAGTAGATAGAAACTGCACTTGCTATGTGTGCAAACACGCTGTAAGTAGAAATAAAGCAGTTAATGAAATAATACTAATTTTTTAATATTATGTTTCAACATATTTTTAAAACACCATATTCATAAAGCATTTAAAAATATTAATACTGTAAAGTTTATATTAGGAAACAATCTGATTCCTATTAAGTCCACATACTTCAGGTAAGATAAACAAATCTCCCTAATTCTAAGTACAGTCTGGTGAATAACTTTCCTAATACCCAAGGGGGACTAAACACAAAGAGTTAATTTCCATGATCTAATGAATAATTAACCATGAAATCTTTTTATATGAAAACCACTTTTTTATTAAAATGCTAATTAAATTAATAGAATTTTGCTGTTGAGAGTAGTATATATAGAATATATTTGTTCTCAGATGTATGTTATTCCATGGACATTAATTATAACATTGTGATATTCTCTCTTCTGTTCTGAACATCTAGTAAGACCTGTACTACTAAATCATACTTAATAGGAGTGTGATGGTTGTTGCTTAGGCAACAGAATGAATAAATGCAGGTCAGAATGTGCTTCCAGAAAAACAAAAGCAGGAATATAGTAGGGAATGAATAAGAAATATGTCTTAACTGAGTTTTACTGCATTGAAATATTAGATTTCTTCACTGTAAAGTAGCTAACCTATCTGAAACATTTAATTTAATAAGATTGAAAACTCTAGCTTAATATGTAAACCACTGTAATAAAGGTAAAGCATTTCTGTCATGTTAAGGAAGACTACAACACATTGAAGTAATCTGACTTTTTCTCTTAGCATAGCAGTTGTTTCTTCTCTCATTTTCCTATATACTTTCCAAGTTTAATTTTCTCTTTAACATTTTGACTAGAATGGAAAATAATTTCTCAAGCACTCATTTAAATTTTTCAAAGGAGGCTTTTCTTACATAATGCTAATATATTCGAAGGAATAATATAAAAAGAAACCACTGTTTTCTGATAATTCTTATTTCCAGTAAAATATGGGAACTATAAAATTTCTGGTACAAAGAAAAACTGAAATACATAACAGCAGGATGAACAGTGTGAAATCAATAAATTAGGAACTATTGGATTATTCCATTCACACATGTATGTTACCTCAACTCATGTTAAGAGTAATTAAGTATTTTACCTGCAATATATATTTAAAAACAAAGCACTTCAGAAAAGGTCTAAAATGACCAGAAAACACTGGCTAACAGATAGGTATGCAAGCATAACTTACTCTCTCTGATACCTTAAAAGTTTGATTTCTATACTGAATAATAACATCTTGTATATAATTTGTATGTTTACATAAGTATACTAATAAGAGACGTAGGAAAGTCTTAAATTCCCCGATAATGTGGTTCAGGCCCCTCCAGAGTCAGGGTATGACTGAAAAGCCCTCCAGGGCAGTTTATTTGGCTTCTCTTGTGCTCATAATCTACCTGTGGTAGGTGCACCCCTCTGCATTTGCTGTGCCACCTACAGCCTCTTGTGAACAATTTCCTTCTGTAACCTCTTTAAGACTAAATGGTCATCTACTTATGTAACTAATGCTACAATACATATAAGAATATGTAGTTACATTTTGGGAAACCGTAGCATGAAACACATTTTGGATTTTATTTATTTTCACATTGCTGAGCACAGCTTTGTTTTCAAGAATACTTAAAGGCAAAGATTCTAGTGATTTTTAATGAATAAGCAAATGATCACATGGCAGCCATGTAAAAACAGGAAGAAACCTCTGCACTATTATAATGTGGAAATGACAGAGATATGTGCCTTAATTTTCTGATCAGTAATGGCATATAATGTTGTTCACAAAATAATTTAAATAGGAAGATTACAACTCATGTGATGATTTTATAGTCATAATTCATGCTGTTTCACTTTCTTATATGACGTGTACAAGTTATGAAAAGTTAGAACTGTTCCAACATATGCATGGTTATTAAAAATATCTTTAAAAGGTATTTTAAAAGATGTTTTAGGGTCTGCTACTTTATAAGAAATGCAGTCAGGATTTTTGGAAGAAGTTGAAGTAATGGGAATAGTGAAGCAGGTAGAAAAGTGATTATATAACAGCCTTACAAGCAAGCTTCCCGCTTTACTGTCAATATTCATTACAATTGAAAGTTTGTGCATGACAGATCTCTGTTACTTTACACCACATGGTGATACTGTAAATCTTGAAGTACCTAATATTTAATTTCATTCAAATATTCCTGATAAATGCCTAGAGTTAAAACATGAAAATGGAACAATTAATAGGAATACATTACTTTTCCTCCCAGGGCATAAGTTTCAACAAGTGAATCCCATAGCCTGACTATCTAAGATGCAAAAATATTTAACTGAGACATTCAGAATCACTTGCATAGAGAGCACACTTCATTAAATAATTTTCTGTTATTAAAATATCTCTCAAGGCAAGAATGGCATTGCATGTTATTTAATTATCATTGCAAGTTAATGTTGAAATAAAAGTAAGAATGTGATGTACTGCAGAAAGGGGTGCTTGCAGCTTTTACATATTATGAAAATCCTTCAATGGATTAAAAGAATGGTGCATTTTTCTTCTTTAATCTGAAGATTTATGAGGGAGAGAAAGAACCTTAATATTCAGCTTTTATTTTACCATATTTCAGGCTAGAATATTTTGTAATGTGTACAGTTTGGAAGTTTATACAAGGGCAATTTATATACTAATTCAGCTACACATAGAAAAGGGAAACACCAAACAGATCTCAGTGCAATGCAGAATAGCTCTAAGGTTTTTATGAGCACATAAGAGACAGACAAAAAAGGCAGAGCTACAGTGTATATACACAGCTATGCACAGAAGATTTCTTACCATAAATTGCACATTGTCAAATCCATTAGCCAGCAAGTGGTTTTCATACTGAGGTAGCCCAATATTTTCCAACCATTGTCCCACTGTCTGGACAGGGCATCGGGGTCCTGTAGGAGGGTGAAGAGGGAGGCGTTTAAGCAACGAATAACCATCCACCGGATAATAGCGGTAGTCCTGGGCTGAGAGGTGGCATTGCCACATCGTGTTCCTGGAAAAGTTGGTATCAAACGAGCCCGCCAGCTTGACAGATTAATGTTTCCAGCAAGCAGAAAAGTCAGAAGTAAAACATAGTTTTCAGGGCAGTATATAGCGTAAGATCTGATCGCAGCTCTACATTTCTTAGTTATTAATCTTTACTACAGACCAGTACGTCATACAGTAGGGAGGAAAAAAAAAAAAAGCATATCAAGCTGTCAGCTAAGCTGTTCTCCGTTATATGCGATTGTTGGAATACTCCACAATGAGCAATGCACTGCCAGCAGCAAGAATTCTTTTTATCAAGTACTCCTACACTCATCAGTATGCATCCCCATGCTTCTTGCTCCCCCTCGCTCGCTCCCCTTCATTACCCAGCCTAGGCTACACCTCGCATTTTCAATAATAGCCATCAGATAAGGCAGATTTTTTTTGTCTGCAAGCTGTAAGCCTGCTGCTGCTGCTTCCTCCTACACACCCATCCAAGCGTCAATCTTGAATGATGAGAGCAGTCAAAACAAATGCAGAAAATAGCAAGATTCAAAAGCAACCTAGAGCACTTAAATCTGAATAAAATCTTCATACCAGTTACGCTTTACATATCTGTTTGTTGTAGATTTTTACATTTCACAAGACATTAAGAAATGCAATATATAAACCATAGCCTATGGCATGGTTTACTATGCCTTCCCCTTACCCTTTTTAATATAAGATAGGTAGTGGTCTGCATCTCTGCTTGTATAATAGGAAAACCCTTTAATGAATCAATAACGAATACATTTCACAGTTTCTCTCCTGTAGTACAGCAAAACACATAAATGGCACAACAATTTTAGTCAAAGTAATTAGATTATCTGCATGATTTCTTCAACCATAAAATATTATAAGACACAAGAAAACCTTCATGCCGACATATAATAATTCAACTTGAAAAGGTCACCATTTCAAATGAATAACTAAAAGAATGTTTCTACTAAATAAAATTGCAAATTTATATCCTTTCTTGCAAAAATCTGAATGATAGCAAGCACACATATAAGATTTGCATGATTTCTAGAGAGGATGTATATTTTATCAACTATAACTGAAAAAAAAGATAATGAATTTTAAATGAAAGCAAAGTTCATTTTCTGCAAAAGAAACCAAACTCCTCATGATGTATTTTCTATCTACATTCCATTTTTGAGACAGTTTTTCTAGAAATGGAAATATTTTATTCCTTTCTTCTGGAAGGAATGCGTACTAAACTTTTGCTTTTCACAACAGGATGAAGAGATTTAGCAAAAAAGGCAGAAAATGGGTATATTCAGGATAAAATTCTAAGAGGACCCCTGTTCAGCAGAGCTTCATTTATCGAACACATTAAGTATTTTTTTGTTTTTCTTGTCCATTGTGGATCTCGAGCAACGACTATCTCTAAGGAGGAATTTAATTCCAGGCATAAGGAAATTATAGATATCTGTCAAGGGCATCATTTGAGACTCATGATGGCAGATATAGCAGAAAACTGTTTCATAGAAATCCAAACCTACAGTCTGACCAACATGTTATAATACAAAGTCTCCGCAAGTGTCACGCAGAGAATCCCTGAGCAGTTACAGAACAGATCCGAAATCTAGCTGGATATTTAGAATTAGCAATATTATAAGAGTTTCAACTCCAATCTGATTAGTCCTTGGACTAAAACTGGCTGACCTTTCTTTCTGATATTGCTGCTTGGATTTGTGAAACAACTCACGCTAACTGAAGTCCATAATGTTTTGCAGAACAATTTTAGTTGAGCCATAGAAGATCTTCCATGAGGTTGGAAAGTTGCCCAAAACAAGTCTGTTATGAGATCATACATTACTCCAGGTATCCTTACTTATTTGATACATTTACTACACAAAGTATGAAAGGTTTATTAGATCTTTAAAAAAAGTACTGAAGACTTATCAAGCACTGGTAAATCTGCAATTGCTGAAGAAACTTTTAGGAGTTTTCTAATAGCTAAATTTACTTCAAATAAATGAATGGATAATTAATTTATTCTCAGAGAAAGTAGGTATACCAAGTTGATAGGAGTCTATGCCTCATGGAGATCCAAATGCATTTGTTCACACCTGTCTAGAAATCATCCCTATTTTGCAGAGTTTTTTCTACTGTGAATCAATACCTTTGTATTTAGGCTGTGCCCAGTCAGTAGCAAGGAGAAAGGTACGCTATGTTGAGTTGAAATATAGGGGACTTCCCTTGAACAGGCAAATGTGAGAGGCTGAACAAGATCTTCAGAGGGCAAACTGAGAACAAAGTTATCTTAAATAAGATGAGAATTAAATACTTTCTGAATTTTTCTTAGTTTGCTGAGAAATCATAAACTTCTTTGAAAAAAAAATCCAGATTTTGTCTTTCCCTTTCCCCCACAAGCAGAAAAACTGATATTGGAAAGAGATCTAGTGAAGCATAATCCCTTTGAAAGGATTATACATGTCTGGTGCCTGTATTTCCTATATATGCATAGACACAAATGTCTCTGCACTGTGTCACCCCAACTAACACTAACAAAAATTTTCTGCCCACAATAAGGCACAGACAATAATCAGTATATTAGTTTCATGGTCAAACTGCTTCTTCCTTACCTTACTATAAGCAGCATGGAAGTTATGCTGCCAATGACAAGAAGTGCTTGGCTCTATGCCTAGCAACAGTGTAGACAAAATTCAGTTTTTGAGTGGCTCCCCAGACACATTTCCTCATGTAGCTGTTGGTACTGTGTCTAAGTATCTCCATGGCTCCAGCACTGGATGATTATAGCTGCTCGTCCCAGTGTCCTTTTCCAGTATAACTAAACATCTGAATCCATCAACACAACATAAGGTTGCTCAGCAAGGGGAAAGAAACTAGGGAGAAACACAGTCAGCTTGCTGCCTAGTCCTCATCCCTGACTATTGTCTTATTGCTGAAGCATCCTGTGATCTGCAAGACTTTTTTTTGCTCCTTCTTCAGCCAAAGGTTGTAGCAAGGCAAAGGAGAGCACAGAACAGAGACAGGAATGTTTGTATTAGGGAACTTGCAGCTCTTTAGATCTTCAGATTTTTAGCCAGTTCAGGTGTCTTACCTCAGGGGGGCTGCTTGGACAGTTTTTCTGAGCCAGTGCAGTTGTAACCTAGAGCAGAAGCTACTGCTTTGAGCGTAAAGACTCTCTCTTAATTTTGCTAGTCAATGACTCGGTGCCAGCCCCACTCTTGTGCTGCTGCAGGTAGTGCCTACTTTGCTTATACCTAAAGCTGGTCCTGACATTGAAAAACTGACTGTATGGGATTGTCTTACTTGCAACACATCTACATATTGCTGTGCTTTCCTATGATTCCAAAAGACATAAATCTCATGATAATCCTTCTGTGATACCACAATCAAAAAAGATGTACCCTTTCCCACACAGGAAAACTGACATGTAAGTCTCTTACAGAGATAGCAGCACTTGGTTCTTCCTTCTCCAAGGCAGTAGAAGAAGCACAGTGAAGTGATGTCTACAAGAAATATGCCATCTGGTACACTATACAACAATTTCTACAAGACATCTTGTTCCCAAGGGGACTCAGAATATATTTATTGTGGGGTTTGGAATTGACTGAATCTGTGATATCAGAGAGCACATGATTTCAAATATGTTGTAAGGTATATCTGCTCTAAATGCTAAGTAATTTAAGGTCTCATCAATTTTATTTTCTGTACTGTTAACAATATGGATTCTTCTTTCTTGATTTTTCTTTATTTGTTTTTTGACTGAGGAAAAGAAAGAACTGCAGTGATTATTTCTAGAGGAGGTGCTCCCCTAGTCATTATGAATAGACTATTACAAACAATTCTTTTTTTAGTAGGTAAATACCTGTCAAACATTGCTAAACACTTCTGGTGTTAAGGAATCAAAAACTGGAGAATTTCAGTAGCTGCTGACCAAAAAATTTCTGAGTGGAGAATATATCACAATATGAAAGGATGGTTCATTTAGGTAAGCTGGTAGAGAATTTAGCAAAGCTGGAGAAGAAACGGATGCTATAGTAAGTACAGTAAACTTTTTTATTATTATTATTAAAGCCTTTAGCCTTATCAAATGCTAAACAGGATATAATTTTTCTCTTTATATTATTTCAGACAGATAAAAAAGTTACCTGTCGGCATTATGACAGAACTTGTGCTACGGCAGTTAGCATGACAGGGTGTTCTAGTGAACAAATGAATCTAACAACATGTATTCCTGAGAGGAGATAAGAATAGCTAGGAACAGGATGTTGTATCAGAACAACTGTGCCTAACATCCAGCAGGCCACTATAATTAAAGAAAGTTTATTATGGGAGAAGTATAGTAGGTTCCAAGAAGTGTATGCAGTGTTCTGCTTTATCGTATGCATTTCAGTTATATTATTAGGCTACTCAAAAGGCGTAGATTTTAAACGGTCTTTTTCATAAAACTCTGAAAAACCTGGATGCCTTACATAAAATCTGTAACTTCTGTCAGCAGCCTGGCTCTTTGGATGATGATGACACTATGGAAGATCATGTTTGGTGATGCTGAATATTTTTCTGAAAGTGCTTTTAGAGACATTTTTCATGACATACAGAAAGAAAACAAAATCAATAGTAACAGCTTGAATTTAAATAACACTATCTAGTATCTATAATCTAAAGGTTACATTCCATTGCTTATGCGTAGCTCAGAACTCACAAAAATAGCTCTCAGATCACAGCTAATCAAGCTAATGGAACAACCCTTACTGACTAGGAAAATCATCCTCACAGTTCTTTTCTGATTTTTACATCAATATTGATTATAACTCTACCTTACCATTTTGTAAGTACAATAGCTGTATCTATAATAACTATAACTACAAATTCAACAAAGACAATTCATTTTACTTGACAGATTATTTGT